TTGGAAGAGAGCAAAAAGAGCAAAAATACTAATTCCTGTCGTTTGTCTTTCGGACAAAAAAGAGACAAAGCAAGGAGGATTGGAATCGAAATTTTTTTTTTGAAATTTCCCTTTTTTCCTTTTCCCCATTAACACCACCCAAAAATGGGGGAAATTTCAAAGAGATTTTGGTGTGTGTTCGGATTCTGAATCTACTTTTATGACATGGAAGACGTCGTCTAATGGGATCCTTCCGATGGGATTGGAATAAGGAGAAGGAGAAGAAGAAATATGGGGAGAATAAGAATAAGAAGGAGAAGAAGGAAGCTTCAGTTACAGATAAAGAAAGTGCAGTTTGGAGGAAAATGGGGATGGATAGGATATCATGTTTCAGAAGAAGGAGAGCATCTCTCAGTGACACAAGAACATGTCATGTATCGGATAGCAAGAAGAAGGAGAAGAAGAAGAACTTTGGTAAGTTTCGAGTTTTTTGTTTGGTCTTCTCCTATCATTCAGATTTATTCTGGTTTTAGGGGAGAGGAGTTTGAAAGAGAAAAATGAAAAAAAAGGATGAAAAGATCAGAGTCCATGGAACAAGATATACAGACACACAGAAGGACAAAGTAATTTTCCAGATAGAAACCCAGAATAAAAAAGTCCAGAAGTTTAGGAAGTCATGAAGCCAGGTATTAGACAACCCAAGAGAGAAGGTTTTCAATTATTCAACGTTTGAAAATTCAAGATTTTTTGATATTGGTACAATCTCTTTTTTGAAGTTTTGGAAATTCTGAACTTTTCAGATTCTTGGTATTTTTTGAAATTCTGATATTTGGAATTTTCGAAAATTACAAAAGTTTCTGGGTTTTTCTGGGTTTTTCTTTTTTTTTTCTAAGTTTCTCATTCCCTGTAATGCCTGGAAAGAATCTCAAAATCCCAGAATCTCAAAACTTCTGAATCTCAAATTTTCAAAATCTCAAAATTTCAGAATCTCAGAATCCCAGAATCTCAAAACTTCTGAATGTCAAAATTTCAGAATCTCAAAATCTCAGAATCTTAGAATCTCAGAATCTTAGAATCTTAGAATCTCAGACTCTTCTAACTTCAAAATCTTAGAATCTCAGACTCTTCTAACTTCAAAATCTTAGAATCTCAGAATCTCAGAATCTCAGAATCTCAGAATCTCAGAATCTCAGAATCTCAGAATCTCAGAATCTCAGAATCTCAGAATCTCAGAATCTCATAATCTCAGAATCTCAGAATCTCAGAATCTCAGAATCTCAGAATTTCAGAATCTCAGAATCTCAGGAGTAAGAATTCTCGAACATGCGAGGCTCAGATTCTTACAAATTTTCCTCTGAAGTTTTGGAATTCTGAAATTTTCAAACTCATGAATTTTTCGATTTTTTAAATTTTTTATTGAATTTCTGATTTTTGGATTTCTTTTTGAATTTTTTGAATTTTCAGCATCTTCCGGAAATTTTGAACTATCCAGATTTTCTGGAACCCCAAAATTTCAGATTCTCAGAACTTCAGAACCTCGAATTCTCGGAATATCAGAATCTCATAATCTCAGAATCTCAGAATCTCAGAATCTCAGAATCTCAGAATCTCAGAATCTTAGAATCTTAGAATCTCAGAATCTCAGAATCTCAGAGTCTCAGAATCTCAGAATCTCAGAATCTCAGAATCTCAGAATCTCAGAATCTCAGAATCTCAGAATCTTAGAATCTCAGAATCTCAGAATCTCAGAATCACAGAATCTCAGAATCCCAAAACCTCAAACTTGTTAATTTCAAACATTCAGAATATCAGAATTTCCAGTAAATTGAGAAGAAGTGAAAACGAGAACCTTTAGAAAAATATCAAAAATCGTATTTTTAATCACACAAAAAAAAACAAAGGAACACCTGCATTTGTTTTTTCCAAAATGATTTTTTCCAGCATTTTTTTTTCAATCCACTTTCAAATTAAAATTTTCACTTACCTTTGTTTTCAGAAGCACCTTTTTCGGATGAATATCCCCGGCCATAGTATTTTCTTTTTCTAGAACAACTGCAACTTTGAATGACATCTCAAAAGAAAGAGAACAAAAAATGGAAGAAGAATAAAGAGTATTATTTTTTTTTTTCATAACGACCCCAAAAAACCAGAAGGAAATAACATATTTGGATCTTATATAGGGAAAAACGAGAGTAGAAAATTGGTGTAGTCAAAAAAATATGTTTTTCTATGTTGGCTTTATGGGTTACCCAGGGAAACCAAAGATGAGCCATAGAAAAACATATAAATCTACAGTGATCTTTTATGAGAGATGAAATTGAGCGTGATGTATAAAGACGGGAAATTTGGAAAGATTATGGACTAGTCCATAGAGCAAAGATACATGAAATATGAAGAGAATGTGAAATTTGTGTTCTCGAAATTCTGGAATTCCAGAATTCGGAATTCATTTAGAAAATTTCTTTTCAAAAAATGAAGAAAAACAGTGTTCAAATCGTAGAAATAAGAAAAAAATTCAGAACATCTAAAAATAAACTCACGATCTTGAAAATTTTGAAATTTTGAACTTTGAAATTTTAGACGTTCAGAATATCAAAGTTTCTTAATTTCGAGATCTCATAATCTCAGAGTTTCAGGATCTCAGAATTTCAGAATCTAAGAATCTCAAAATTTCAGAATCTCACGGATTCATTGGATTTGAGGAATTCAGAAATTTGGAAATTCAGAAATTCGGAGATTTCAGAATCTTAGAATTTCAGAATCTCAGAATCTCAGAATCTCAGAATCTCAGAATCTCAGAATCTCAGAATCTCAGAATCTCAGAATCTCAGAATCTCAGAATCTCAGAATCTCAGAATCTCAGAATCTCAGAATCTCAGAATCTCAGAATCTCAGAATCTCGGAATCTCAGAATCTCAGAATCTCAGAAGCTCAGAAACTCAGAATCTCAGAATCTCAGAATCTCAGAATCTCAGAATCTCAGAAGCTCAGAAGCTCAGAATCTCAGAATCTCAGAGTCTCAGAATCTCAGAATCTCAGAATCTCAAAATCTCAGAATCTCAGAATCTCAGAATCTCAGAATCTCAGAATCTCAGAATCTCAGAATCTCAGAATTTCAGAATCTCAGAATCTCAGAATCTCAAAATCTCAGAATCTCAGAATCTCAGAATCTCAGAATCTCAGAATCTCAGAATCTCAAAATCTCAGAATCTCAGAGTCTCAGAATCTCAGAATCTCAGAATCTCAGAATCTCAGAATCTCAGAATCTCAGAATCTCAGAATCTCAGAATCTCAGAATCTCAGAATCTCAGAATCTCAGAATTTCAGTATCTCAGAATCTCAGAATCTCAGAATCTCAGAATCTCAGAATCTCAGAGTCTCAGAATCTCAGAATCTCAGAATCTCAAAATCTCAGAATCTCAGAGTCTCAGAATCTCAGAATCTCAGAATCTCAAAATCTCAGAATCTCAGAGTCTCAGAATCTCAGAATCTCAGAATCTCAAAATCTCAGAATCTCAGAATCTCAGAATCTCAGAATCTCAGAATCTCAGAATCTCAGAATCTCAGAATCTCAGAATCTCAGAATTTCAGTATCTCAGAATCTCAGAATCTCAAAATCTCAGAATCTCAGAATCTCAGAGTCTCAGAATCTCAGAATCTCAGAATCTCAAAATCTCAGAATCTCAGAGTCTCAGAATCTCAGAATCTCAGAATCTCAAAATCTCAGAATCTCAGAGTCTCAGAATCTCAGAATCTCAGAATCTCAGAATCTCAAAATCCCAAAATCTCAGAATCTCAGAATCTCAGAAACTCAGAATCTCAGAAACTCAGAATCTCAGAATCTCACGGTTTCATTAGATTAGAAAATTTTGTACTTTTTTCAGATTTCGAAGCGCATGGAGTTTTCAAAGTTTTTTTAAAAGTGAAAATCAAGTTTCAAGCTTCAAAATTAGTATAATCATTCAAAATTAGTATAATCATTCAAAATTAGTATAATCATTCAAAATTAGTATAATCACCAAGTTTGGTTAAAGATTAGTATATACTACGGTGATCCTAAAAACTGCTTCAAAATGGGTCAAACCTAGTCATGTTCACAGGTGATTCGCATGTTTTATTGAGTTCGCAAACGGATCCGTTTGGTCATGATTCACAATCGGATCGGATACGGAGCTCGCGAACGGACAGGATACGGATCAACCCGAATAATGTACTGCTATTTACTGAAAACGGTTCGCAAACGGTAAACTGCAAGTTTGATTAAATTTGGAGCAAAATTGACCAAGTTACGGTGGTTTTCATTTTTAGCTTTACAAAATACGAAATCACGGAACACCAGAAACCTAACATTCGAAATCTCAGCAATCTAGAATTTCGAAATGTTTCAATTTTATAGAACCAAATCAGCCTAATCTAAAAATTCTGCACAAGTTGTTGATTTCTAAGGAATCCTGAGAAGTTTATGAAACAAGAAAAGAGACAATGCACAAAGAAGAAAAAATGGGGAATAAGAAAGTGTTTGGTTTGAAAGAAAGAAAGAAAATGATTGGTATATTTCTTGAGACACTTGAAAGAAGAAAAAAGGAAAAGAAAGAATAGGAAGACAGCGATTAGAAGGTGTTAGAAGTGTATTCAGAGAAGAGCAAGAAACAGAAAAAAGAGATTAAGAAAGTTTCAGGAGACGTTACAACCTGAGGAACGAAAGAAATGGGGAAAGTTGGCGGCTCCGAAAGAAGCCTAGGAAAATTGAATTGGAAATCCCGAAAGGTTGTAATTGAGTGGAATCTCGGAGGGGGAGAAAAATGGGAAGAAGAAGAAGAAAAAGAAGTGAATTGGAAAATGGGTAGGTTAACCTCGTCTTCTTTAGAAAATTCACTAGAAGGAATGTGCATCAGAACTGGAAATAAGAGAAAGGAAGAAGAGTGTTCACTCTAGAAGAAAATTCAGAATTCAAAAGAAATTGCAGAAAAAATTCATTAATTAGATATTCAGGAGTGTGGAGTTCGTTTGTCAAGTTTCCCATCAGTTTGAAATTTTCGTAGGGTGTAAAACAGACCTAGATCGAAAACTTTGCATTTACAAAATTTTTCGAAACTTGCTAGTTTTTGAGGTATTTGCCGATTTCTAAAAGACATCTGGTTTTTCCCGTTATCAGTAAAAAAACGAGCCAAAAAGAAAGTGTCTTTCAGGAATCGGCAAAAAAAAATTCTTTGAATGCAAAGTTCAAATCTAGGTCTGTTTCACACCTTCCCAAATTTTAAAAGGGATTGGAAACTTGACAGCTGAGCTCCAGACTTCTGAAAACGGTCGAAATGGTCAAAAATCCACTGAAACCGAACTAATCCGGAATTCAGAATTCCGTTCCGCACAAAAAAGATCCTGAAATTTCCAGAAACATCTTTATTTGTCCAGCGCAGTAATAATTTAATTCTCCAGTGGTGTTAAAAATCTTCAGTTTCAGCAGCGTTCCACTCAGCTCATTTCAAGTATACCGTATTTTTTCTTACATAAGCCCATCCAAACCGTCAACTTTGAGCTCATTTATCTCGGTTCCTGTCGAAGGTATCAAAAAACAATCAACTGATAAAATGTTAATAATAATATCACCAATATTTTATCAGTTTGCAAGTTTTTGATATCACTTGTGGAAATCGAGATAATTGAGCTCAAAGATGATGATTTGGGTGGGCTTCTATTAGAGGAAATATGCTACTCACACTTGTTTGAACCATATATTAGACAGTTTCAAACTAGCAATTCTCCAATAAAATCCATTATTTCAATTCCTTGAAAATTCTTCAGGTCAATCTACAACTTACCTCTCTCCTCTGCGGACTTGCCATTTCGGCAGGTTTGAAAAACGCAAGTAGTGCAGGATCCATGTTAGCAGAATATTTGAAAATCGGCAGAGACAAATGGCAATGAGCGTCGAAAAAAATTATTTGGAGCTCTCTCCAATGATAATGGAATAAAGTGTTTCAAGAGGCATGGAGCATCTCAAATATTAAATGGAAAAGAAGAAGAAGAAGAAGAAGAAAAGATTGAAGTGTGAAAAAAAAGAAGAGTTTTCTATGAAAATCAAAGATGAAAATTCCTTTTTCGAAAACTATGTTCTTGAAGAAGAGAAGAAGCCTAGACAGGAAAAAGTACATCATTTACATAAGGAGAGCAGTCCATAAAACTGAATAGATGGGGAACGGGTTTTAAAATAGGAGAAATGGAATTTTATGGGAAAGTTCAATGAGTTCCCAGATCATAAAATTGGGTTTTAGGAGGGATTATAAAGGCCCTTTTAGTAGGGAGAGAGTGCTCAGAAGTCGAAAATTCAGAATCTAGGATTTCGAACTTCGGATATGAATCAGAAGATGTTTTAGAATTTTGTAATTTAAAAATCTCTGAATTTGAAAACTTCTGAACTTTGAATATTTCCGAATTCGAAACTCTCAGAATTCGAAATTCTGAGAATTTGAAAGTTTCGAAACTTTAAAAATCTTAGAATTTGAAAACCTCAGAAATTGAGGATTCTAGAATTTGAGAATCCTAGAATTTCAAGTTCTAGTAACTCGAAAACCTGGAATTTGAAAATCCTAGAACTTGAAAGTCTTAGAATTTCAAATTTTCAGAACTTAAAAGTCCTAGAACTTAAAAGTCCGAAAATCTCAAAACATTGAATTCATAGGACTAGAAAGTTTCAGAATGTTAGAACCTAAGAAATTTCAAATATCAGAATTTCAAAATGTCAGGTTTGGAAAATTTGAAAATCCTAGAATTTAAAAACTTCAGAATATGAAAAATTGAAAATTTGAAGTGTCCAGATTTTCAAATTTTGAAAATATTAGAATTTCAAAATTTCAGAACTCCAAAATTACAGAATTTTGAAATCTCAGAATTTGAAATTCTCAAAGTTTGAAATTCCTGGAACTCGGAAATCTGTGATTTTAGAAATTTTGGAACCAGTCCAGAAGATCCAGGAATCTTAGAATTACAAAATTTGATTTTTTTGTTGATAATATCAGAAAATTAGCAAGAATCTGAAATTGCAAAGCTACGGTGAGTTTCAGAAGTTTTTAGATCTTTAGAATAAAACTTCCGTATTTTCCTTCAATCCCAGCAGAAAAAGTTTTCGGTACCAAACAACAAAGTGCTATAAAAAGAATCCCTTGGAAAGGCAAAAACCAATTTTCAAAATGGAAGGAAACGTAACTTCAGAAGAGAGGACGACGTCTTCTTCTTCTTCCTTCATTCTTGAATTCATTCTTCCAACATCATCTGTGTCAAAAGGTTGAGCTGTGCGGCGACTCCTTGACAAAAGAAACACATAAAATGGCGAAGGAAGAAGACGTCAGTCCATTTTGAAAGAATCATGAAGAGAGAGAGATTCATGCGGATCATTTTTCAAATATTTTCGTTTTGGTTTTAGAGAAGTAAGCCTTTTGAAAAAAACCGGAAAGACAGAACCCTCTTCTGGTTCTAGAACTCCCATTCCAATCTGATTTATCACCCTTACCTCCTTCCGTTGTAGATTCACCATTGTTGATGGAGTACTTCTTCTTTTTTTTTTTAAGTAGTAGAAATAGAAGGAATGGATATCAACTTGTTCTTTTTCTTCTGGTGTTTTCGGGATGTTACACTCAATTCGATACAACAAGATTGTCACAGCAATCAATCGAAAAAGAGATTTACAAGTGATTGGAAGAGGGAGAGGAGCAGGAAATGAAGAGATAAATGAAAGATAGAGAGCTATGAAGATCAGTGGAAATCAGAAAGAAATCGAGCTACTTCTGGAGCTTTTAAAAGTACTCTGACACTTTTTTCAATTTCAGAAATTGGTTTTCAACTTTGAGCTTTATTTTTGCAGTATTTTTTCTGATAGAATACTAAACGTAAACTTTGAGCCGAATTATCTCGTTTCCTTTGAAAGTATCAAAATTTTGTCAACTAGTAAAATGTTGTTGATATTATGATAAACATTTTTTCTCCTACCTTCGAGTTTGAATCCTTAATTTCTTCCAGTATTACCCGTTATTGATATATTTGCTCCCTGTTTTTCTTTTTCTACCGGTTACATCTTTCTTGTGTCAAATATCTAAATTATCCCGTTTCCCCTCTCCTACTCAGATCGGCCTCGTGAGGGGCATTTTTTCTGAGTCTTTCATGTCCTGCCCTCTAATGTTTTATTACACCTGATCAATAAACAAATTAATTAAAATTTTATCTGTTGATACTTTTTTGATATCTTTTACAGGAATCGAGATAATTGAGCTCAAAGTTGACATTTTCTGGGCATTCTATTAGATGTTTATGTATTGTTTACTTTGAACTTTTTTCATAAGCCATTTTTAACTTCCTTTTTGCTGTTTCTTAAAATATTAGGTTGGCGGGAAAGTCTTTGTCACTCTGTTTGTTTAATCACTGTTCTCGTATATGGAGGCTGTGTATGATATCGACTTTAGTGAATAACAAGGTGATAAGAACCTTCCATATAAACAAGTCCCCATCTCCTTCCCTGCTCCTCATCTGTAATTGAAACGATATGTTTGTTCCCACTGCTATTCACATCAGACATGTTTTGATTTACCTCTTCCTATCTCACACCACGATGAAGGATTCGGAAACTTTCTTGAAGAATGTGTACAACACACATGCCCCTCACTACAATACTATTCGCAATTGGTTCCATCGTTTCGAAAAAGATGACTTCTCGCTCGATGAAAAGGATCGCTCTGGGAAACCCCGTGAGTTGGATTTGGACAAGCTGAAGCACGCATTGCAATCGGATCCATTTCAATCTAGCCGTGAACTAGCTGTCACATTCGGAGTTCACCATAGCACAGTCCTTGAAGGTTTGAAGTCTCTTGGAATG